CAGAGAGCCCAATACCCTTTAATTAGGCAATATACCTGAAATTACAGGGGCCTTAGTATTATAATTTAAGCTATATTCCTTAATTAAGGGGTATTGGGTTCTCTGGGTTTTGGAGTCTCTGGCAGTCTCCAGGCCTGCCTCTCTCCTGGGCCACAGAAGTGGATGGCATCGTCTACGCCAGTGGCCTTTCGGTGGGAGCTGGCCCAGGGTTTGGGGGTTCAGGGTGAAAGGGTTTTGGCTGCTAGAATTTGGGGGTGTAGGGTTGTGGCTAGGATTTGGGGTTTAGGGTTTAGGGTTTAGGTTTTGGCCAGGATTTTGGGGGTGTTTCAGCTTGGGTTCCTAAGTCAGGGCCTTTAGGGCTAACTAACTCAAGCCAGCGAAAGTTGGTTTCGATGCCGGGCCTGATGAGAAGTATGCGGATCTAGCGTCGGTTCTAAACCCCAAAGTGCCTTTAGCCCTAAACCCTAACCCCTAAACCCTAAACCCTAAATCAAAAAGACCTAAAGCCCTAAACCCTAATCATAGAGACCTAAAGCCCTAAACCCTAAACCCTAAATCATAAAGACCTAAAGCCCTAAACCCTAAACCCTTTATGGCTCCCGTATTTTTGACTGGGACCCCTTTCCGAAGGACGGGCCAGGAGGGTGCACAGCAGCAGATGTCGCAGCCCTGAGGTACCCTAAAAGCAACTAATATCGGGGCCTTATTAATTAGAACAGGGTCTTGGGGTATATCATATTATAACTATAATAAGGAGCCCCCTAATCCCGTGTCAAGCCTGCATCAACCCTCGAAGAGATCCAGTAGAAACTTAGTTGACGAACACTAAAACCCTTGGGGAACAGGAGCCAAGAAAAGAGCCTAGAGCCTGAATCTTAAGCCCTAAACCCTGAAACCCCAAACCCTCAACCCTGAAGCCCTAAGCCCTAAACCCAAAGCCCTAAAACCCTAAAGCCTTAAAACCCAACATCCTAAAGCCCCTCGTCTTCGTCACTGAGGGATGCAGGGCCTTACGGCCAGTGGCGAGTTCATTGCCGGGGGGATCGGGAACGAGACGACTCAGGCGACGCTGACTTTGGGGTTTAGGGTGTAGGGTTGCGGGTTTAGGGTTTAGGGCTTAGGGGTTTAGGGTTTAGGGGTTTAGGGTTTAGGGTTCAGAGGTTAGGCTGCCGGGATTGTTTTCGGATTTCAGGATTTTGGGCTTGGCGCTCTAGGGTTGTGTCGGAGTTGACCTCGAGATAGCTGATTTTTCTTGCTTGCGTGCCGTTTCGGAGTTGTTACAAGTCTCCAGGTTTTCGGTCTTGTCTCGATTTGGGTTGTGGTGCAGGAAGCCACAAAGTTAGTGTCTCTGATCTGGGATGGCCAGCTTCGGCTGAAAGGCCCAAGCGTACATGCCCTAAGCCCTAAACCCCAAGCCCCACACCCTAAACCCTGAACCCTTACCCTAAACCCCCAAACCCTAACACACTTGGCCCCTAGAGTTTCAGAGCCGCAGGCGCTGCAGAACCTCAATGAGATTCTGAAGTCGGCTGCTTCGGACGCAGGCAGCGCAGCCCAGCTGCAAGCAGTGGTGGGGGCCACTCTCAGGTTTAGGGTTTAGGGTTTAGGGTTTAGGGTTTAGGAATTAGGGGTGTAGTAGGGTTTAGGGTAACCCCTGAACCCTCAAACCCCAAGCTTTGAGCCCTAAACCCTGAACCATAAGCTCGAGTAGCCTGAAATGCTCCAAATTTTCCCGGGAAACCATCCCTTTCAAGATTTTAAGCGTCCTTGTGCCGAGGATCCTGAGATTTCGGGTCTTTGGGTTCTGAAGAAGGGACATAAGCCACAGTTCTAGCGCTTCTGATCAAGTCTCCGTGTCTTTCAAAACTGAACCAAAGCCTCGAAACCAAATGGACCTTTAGGCTTTAGGGTATAGGGTCCCCGTAGGGTTTAGGATTTAGGGTACAACTCAATTCACCAAAGTAAAAACTCCACAAACTAAACCCTCAACTCCCGACGCCCTCCCGAAGCCCAAACCCTATACTAACTAAACCCCAGACCCCAAACGCTACACCCACCTTCTACTTAGGAACCCCTGTCCCGAAATGGGTTTAGGTTTAGGGTCGAGGGTTCATGGCCTCTACTCTTTATCAGGCTCCAGACCTAAACCTCCCTAAACCCTAAACCCTAGACCCTAAACCTTAAACCCCCAAACCCAACCAGGTAATTTCATGTAGCGTGTGGCTCACCAACATGAGCGACTTTGAAGAGATGAACGAGGCTTGGAACGTTTGCGGTCGGCTTTCAGGGTTTGGCTGTCAGGGTTTAGAGTTTCGATGGTTTAGAGATTTTGGGTGCGGGGTTTAGGGTTTAGGGTTTTTGGGTTTAGGGCTCAGGGTGACCCTCGACCCAACCGAAATTTGAAGCTGCAGCCTTGAGCCTATGAACCTACGACTCGCGCATGCCACAGCTGCGGTCGGTGGCAAGGTTGCTTGCAGAATCCAAGAGAAGTGTGCCTCAAGCCTCGAGACCCATTATGGCATCCGCCGTTGACAATGAAGCAGCGAGAGGGGAGCGGTGTGTTGCTACAGATGTTTGCTACACGTGTATAGATCAGTGGGCAGGGGGACCCTTGGGATACTGTAGCTTACTGAGTCCCTGCCTGCATGTTTGTTCAGTTGCGGTTTGAAGGTCACAAGCACTTCAGGCCTTTTACAGAAGAAGTTGTAATCGTATGTTCTAAATTTGTAGGCTTTCAGACGTAGTATTTGAGTGTTTGTTACATGTACTAATGCACGGGCTTGGAAAAGGTCTTGTTCAAGGAACTCAAATTGATTTCAGAGAGTTACTATTTGTTGAATCAGAAGTGCAATTCAGAATGGTTGAACGTGTTTGCTAAACATGTATCTTCTTGTTTGGCTTCTGTTGGTGTAGGGATTTTTGGGCGCGGGGTTCCTGCAGGCTTCAGGGTTTGTTGGCGGGAATGGATAGGCTCTCGTGCACGACCGCCGTCTGGGGTTTGTGGGGATTAGTGCCTTTTCAAAGCTTCTGCTCCGCCCTACACCAGGGAAGCTCTTTAAGCCCCGAAGAGGAGTCCCTGAACCCGACCATGAAGCCAAGTCCTCGATACTGCGAAGCCCCAGAATCCTTAAATTCTGTCCTAGGCCTGCTTTGCGTTTAGGGCTGAAGGCTTTCTATTTCAAAACACCAAACGGACTGGCAATCCAAAGCCCTAAACTCAAAATCCGAAGCCTTCACAGCCGCGACCTCGAAGGCCTACAAAGACTTCTGGCCAGAAGAGTCTGCTATGGGTGGCTTGCCGACCAGGGCTGGTGCCCCAGAAACCGGGGTTTAGGCTCGGGCTTGGGGTTTCGGGCTTAGAGTGAGGTTCAGTAGTTAAGTTTTAGGGTGCAGGGAGGGGGGTTTAGGGTTCCAGCTCGGGATCTTTATATCAAGGGGCAGGGCGTCTCTAGTGTTTCGTGAGGGAGTTTACAGAGGTTTCTTAGGATTCGCTTACGAGGAAACCCTGGCTCTAGAACCTGACGCCTTGCCTCCAAGAAGCCTGAAAGCTCACGTCGAAGCCAACAGTTTAGGGTTTAGATTAGGGTTAAGGATTTAGGGTTTAGGGCTTAGGATAAACCGTAAGCCCCAAATAAAGCCCTCGACCCCCTAAACCCTAAACCCTAAACCCTAAACCCTAAACCCTAAACCCTAAACCCTAAACCCTAAACCCTAAACCCGAACCCGGCCTAGACACTTCGTAGCTGCCGAGGTCTGTGTCGAGGCAGCCTTGGCAGGCAAGGCCCGTGCCCCTTGGACTGGCAAGCGAGGTTTTAGGCTTTAGGGTTTAGGCTTGTAGGGTTTAAGGTTTAGGTTTTAGGCTTTAGGGTTTAGGCTTGTAGGGTTTAGGTTTTAGGTTTTTTGTTTTTTTGGGTTTAGGGTTTCGGGCTTTAGGGTTTAGGCTCTAGGCTTTAGGGTGTAGGGTTTTTGAGGGTGAGGCTGAAGGGCTTCACTCTTTGAGGGTCAGGGTGTCGAGGTTTAAGTTGTATTTGTGAATCCACTAACCTGCCGCTGTAAACCCGCTTTTTTGTAATGTCTGTGTTTAAGGCTTAAGGGTGAGGCAAGTCGAGAATGTTCGTCATGGAGACCTTCCGGGGAGAAGCAGGAAGAGTAAGAGCCCAGCTACCTTGAGATGATTCAAAGAGACGCTTACCCCTATTTCCGCTTGTCTTTGGGGTTCCCTTTGCGAGGTGTCCTTTGTTTGAGAACGCGACGAATGAAGCTGGGAGGGAGAAGGTTACGAGCAGATGGGAATGCACACCCTAAGCCCTAAACCCTAAGCCCTAACCCCTAAGCCCTAAGCCCTGTGACGGCAACAGGTTGAGATCCAGTGCAATGCCGTCGCGAGCCTGGCCCTCAAAAACGGGAAGCATCCTTCGCACGCCGTGAGAAAAGTGGAAGATCCTAAACCCTAAACCCTACTCCCTACCAGAGGGCACGGGTTTCAGGGACTTGTTTGGGGGCAGCTGTCACTGTTCTGTTTGAGTTGCTCATCGCGGTTTTGGTTTAGGGTTTAGGGTTCAGTCTTTTCCACTGGTGGCAGCAGCCAGAAGAAGACATAAAGACGATCGTAGGGATCGAGACTTCAAGGCCCTGAATGAAAGGGCTTTCTTGATCAGAGGTCTACTTTCTCGTTGGCACTGCACAGCCTTGTCATTCGCAGAAGGAGCCCTCAGGCTTGAAGCCTTCGAAGGGTAGATTGTAGGGTGTGACATCTCAGTATCCCCCTTATTAGTGCCCATATATGTCTAAACGCAAGATGCCACACCTTCTTCTATATTTCCAAAAGTAAGATGCCACACCCAACCCCTCTTCCAAGTGTTAGGCCCCCTTATCTCTTCACAGTGCGAAGCCCTCGTCGGTCAGAGCGCCCAGCGCCGAGGGGGCGATCCTCATCACACTGGGCCCCCGAAAGTGATTAAGGTCCCGTCGGGGGTTTTTGGGGAGTTTAGGACCTAATGTAGGAAGTTCAGGAGTTGGGGTAACTAGGAGGTTAATGCTTAGGGGGTTTGAAGGTTTCGGGGGGCTTAGCATGTAATGAGGGAGTTTAGGGTTGGTTTTGGCTTTGAACTTGGGGTTTACGGTGTAGGGATCGAGGCTTGGAATTCACAGGGGTTCAGGCAATAGGGGGACCCTCATATAGAACCGTGAATGCTATGATAATATCTTCATTCAGAGGACCCCCAAACCCAAATCAGCTAAACCCTAAACCCGAAGCCCTAAAACCTAAACCCTAAAACCTAATCCACAAAACCCTAAACCTTAAAGCCCGAAACCCTAAACCCTAAACCCTAAAGCCCTAAACCCTGTTTCCTCAAGCTCCCTTTTAGGCTTTGGGAAGTTTCGAAGGTCGAAGGGGCTCCTGACATTGAGAACCGCCTTTATCTGGAGTTCAGGATTTCGGGTTTGGGGCTTAGGGCTTAGGATCTAGGGTTTCGGGTTTAGGGTTCAGGGTTTAGGGTTTAGGGTTCAGGGTTCAGGGTTCAGGGTTCAGGTTGAGGGACAGAAGAAGAGCAGCCTTTCACTGAAACCCTGAAAACCCACTCCCCGAGGCCCCCACCAAGGCCCTAGGTGCCAAACCCTGAAAGCTTTGACTCCAAGAGCCTAAGGCTCTAAACCCCGAAACTCTTTCAGCTTGAACCTTCAGGGTTTAGGGTTTAAGGTTTAGGGTTCAAGCCTTCTTAGCTCCAAAGCCATTCGGACTTGTAAACCCTAGACTCTCGACCCCCAAGAAACTTGAATCAACTGCCGCATCCAACCCCTCAACCCGAAATTTTTGAACCCTGATTCAGCGGGGTGTTGCGCGTTTCCTATGAAGAAGGCATCGATCATCCGCGTGAACCTGAGGAAGCGGCTGGTGGAGAGGAGACGCACATGCTGCTGGGAGAGAAGTTGCGGGAGTGATGATGGTGATGGCCCTGGATTGGATGAGGATCTCCCTTCCCGACACGTGGGTGTGACCCTTGGGCGTTGGGTTGTCAAGTTTGACAATGCGCTGGTGCTGTCTGCTTGGACCATGTGACTACCGTGGACAAGAGTGTGGTTTCACCTAGTGTGTGCTTGTAAAGGCAGGCCTGGAGCATCCAGGATCCTAAATCTTAAAATTTAAATCTCCAAACCGTAAACCTAAACCCGAAACCCTAAACCCCAAACCCTAAACCCCGAACCCCAAACCCCAAACCCTAAGCCCTAACACCCCTCTAAGCCTTAACCGCCGCTTACGCCAGGTCCCGGGCTGGCCCGAGATGAAGGGCTTCCCTTTCTCCGCGGCGGCGACCATCGACAACTTGGCGTTCATCAGCGGGAATCAGGGTCCGAATCCTACTTGGGAGGATGACGGGATCTCAGGGTTCAGGGTTTCGGGTTTTTAGGGTTTAGGGCTTTTAGGGTTTAGGGTTTAGGGCTTTTAGGGTTTAGGGTTTAGGGTTTTTGGGGTTTAGGGTTTAGGGTGACATGTTCCTTCTGAAATCACCAGCGCATACGAACCGCCACAGGAAGTGTTAATCGACAAATTTGCTCAGAAAGTTAGAGAGTCCAACACACTCGCCTTCCAGAAAGTACCGACCCTAAACCCTAAACCCTAAACCCCCAGGGTGTGTACCCTGATCATCTTCCGGCTCTCTTGTAGCAGCAACCCCTCCTGAACCCTAAACCCTCCAGCCGAGATCCTAAACTTAGGGGTACTTAGAAATAAGTCGTAATCTTTGGCTACTATGATCCCTAAGAAACAGCTGAAGCTGACTGAAGCGATACGTTTTGCAAGGGTCCCAAGTTCAGTATAGAAAAAAACCTTGGCTTCCAATATCATACCCCAAACCCTGAACCTGAAAGCCTCAGAAGGCGTGGACATGTCGACCTCGAAGCTCGTCGAGGGCGGGGCTGGGCCGGAGACCACGCAGACTCTGAAGGAGCCGTGACTTTGGTGGGTTTTGGGGTTACAGAAAGCGTTCCGGGCCCAGCAACTCGAGTTTAGGGTTCATGGCGGTTACTAACGAGACGAACTATATGGGCATTGGGCTTATTGGGTCTAGGATGTGTGGTTCTGGTGTGTGCTGGTTGTGAGGTCAGGTTTCTGCCTCCGTGTGATTCTGTGGAGTTCGTACCTCGAGGGTGTAGCAGGTTTGTGCTAAGTGATTAGATGTATCAAGAAAATGCAACATGTCAAAGCCTCAACCGTGGAACTCTAAGCCCTAAACTCAAGGCATAGGCCGCCCACCTATTGTGGGTGGGCGGCGCTTAAGCCCCTCGCAACCTCTCTGCAGCCGTGGGGACTGTAGCACCCACGTCGCACCCGGTACCGGAAGACGTTCTCCCCAACACCGTACTGGTCCCTTAATGAAGTCATTACCCGAAACCCCGCTGATTTTGCCTGGGCAGGGACCCCCCAACAAAGGGACCTTCGAGCAGAATTCTAGGAGCCTCCAGGCCAGTCCCAGAGGGGCCCAGATCCTGCCCTCCCCCTAGAAAGAAGAAAGTGGTGATGGCAAGAGTTTCGGCTTAAACCGTAAAAGGAATAGGTTTGGGTGGCTTGGCCGCCTTAGAAGGGAAAAGCCCTCAATAGACAGGCTTTCGCAGCTCGTCGCCATAGTACGATGCACTCGACACAACCTTGTCGCAAGACACTCTCGCCTA